GGGAAGACGACTCTCGGTGACAATCTTGGGCGCGAGGGAAGACGACTCTCGGTGACAATCTTGGGCGCGAGGGAAGACGACTCTGGGTTACAATCTTAGGCGCGAGGGAAGACGACTCTCCCCTTTGCCCTGATCCAGCTCTTTATATCCGTTTCTTTGATTCTCCTACTCCTCGATAAGGAGCCAATCCTAATCGCTTACAAATGGGGGAGAGTGGTGAGCGCACTGACTCACCCCGACCTTTAGTCTTCTCGAAAAGATAATGATCGTCCGGTCTAAACATGTTCGACCAAAAGCCGAAAGACAAATACAACCGGTAAACATTATCCCGGGCAAACATTGCCCGGGATCGGCTTGGAATTAGTAACGCACGACAACGACTATCTCCTAACGGAATTATACAAAAATGCCTACAAATATTAGAATTTACAATATTTTATATCTCATGTTGTATATCATTTTACTTTGCGTTTTTCCATTTAGATTATAATCGATTAGTTTTGCTTAGCACTACTATATGGCTGAACATATACAGTAGCAACTGTAATCTCATTGTATCATTATTTTTCAATATTGGCTCAATAAATTGTACAATTTTTATTCTTTGTATTTTCTTTGTTGAATTAGTGTTCATTTGAATATTCCTTCGTGTTTATTCATCATTTTATTTATTATTTTACTTTCATCACTTTACGTGCACTATACTTTTTAATGCAGAAAATAACTTTGGCTCGTCTAAAAACAATAAATTGCACAATTTGTATTCTTTGTATTTTCTTCGTTGGATTAGTGTTCATTTGCACTAAAATATTCCTTCGTGTTCATTCATCACTTTATGTGCACTATACTTTTTATGCAAAAAATAACTTTGGCTTGTCTAAAAACTCCGATATTTATCACAGGTTTATTTCCAATATTTATATGTATATGGTTAGTTGTAGTATATAATAAGTATATTATATAAGCAATATTTTTTATGTTTTTGTAATTTCTCGAAGTTTATATTATTGTAGCTTATATGTATGTATGTAGTTACATATAATTCATATCACAACTTACACGGTTTTCATCGTATAACGCTTTCCCTCCATACAACGTTCTTTATTTCTTTCGTCTTCTCTCTACAGATTCATTAAAAATGCATTTCTTCGATACCAAAATGCCTGCATATGTAATAAAGCATTATAACGTGAAAATGTACAATAAGTTTCACGAGGCTATAAAACACTGGGAAACAACATATGTCTCTGCTTGTTGCCGAACACGTTCTTATTTTTTACTTAATATCGCGCTCGAAAAGTTGTTGAAACGAAGAACTGTTTTCAAACTAGGGATAACACTCTTAATATTTAATATGCCCCTCGCAAAGCAGCCAAGTTTCGTAGTCATTTCACAAGCATGCGTAACGATCATCTTTTACCTTAGGGGTGCTTGAAAGAATGAAGCAGTACTTTTCATATTAGTCAATGACATGGATATTTCAGCATCAGGTTATAAAGGTATAGACACTAACATGTTACACACGTTCTTACAATGTACATTAACTACCTATTAGTCATTTTGTTTTATCAAATCTTTATTAACATCGTATTATAAATCTACGTGTTCTGTTTCCGTCATCTTTTATAAAGTCAATAATTTTCAATACAATACATAACTTCGTAATTATTATTCACATATCGTGACAACAAAAACTCTCAGATTTTTTATGGGCAGTGGAAGTACAACGCTTCATTATGGAACTGATTGGGTTGTGGCCTAAAACCGACAAATTTACTAAAAGCAATTTGTTGAGAAAACTTCATGCAGGCATTGTTTTAATTTTATTTATATTTGTTTCTAATATCCCGGCGATATATGCGTGTATACAAGTTTGGGGCAATATGGTACGTTTAATAAGTAATTTACAAACGACAATACCTCTTCTAATGATAACAGCGAAGTATGTTATCATGTTATACAAGCAAACAGGTATGTCTAGAATTATTAAAACATTGTGGATTATAAGACATCGAAAATCATAATCAAAGATATCAGTAATTAAAAATTATATGTATGTGATTTACATATACATATGTAAAAAGTATATGTTAAAATAAATTATAGAATGTGTATAAGTTTTTGTTTTTCTTGGTTTGGAGTTTACGAATACTATATATAAATAGTTTAATATATTTAGCACCTTAACAATATTTATATATTATTTATTTATCTCAAGTTTTCTTATCGATTGTGAATATGATGGAGGAAGATTGGATAGCATTTAAATTGGATGCAGAAAGAGCAGTGATGATAAGACGAGCACATACTGCTCGATTTATCATGAAATTTGGACATGCTTTTATGGCTGTATCGATACTCATAGATATCATTCCTATTTATTTTGGCATACAAATATCGAATCTGACGAATTTTACGAATCGCAAACCGTTACCGCTGATGACTTATCACTTCTACGATACAAATAAAAGTCTGCAGTTTGAATTGGCATTATTCTTTCAAATCTTAACGCTCTTGGTAGGAGGTTACACTCAAATATCTGTAGATGTTTCTTTAGTACTAATAATTCTTCACATTTGTGGCCAGTTAGAGAACTTTAGATACCAATTAATCAGATTGGTCTCGTGCAAGGATTTCAACATAACTTTAAATGACATCATAGCAAGACATTTACGATTAATCAGGTATAAATCTTTATTGCGACAATAAAATGTTTAACAAAATAAACTTAGTCACGCCTAAAAAAATATTTTTCCACAATTCTACATATAATACATTTAGGTTTTAAAACTTTAATCCACAGTTTGATATAAATATTCATCTTTAACGTATAAACAATTTAAAATATCACATATCCTTTGTTATATGCTTTGCAAAAGAATTCAATTACTGCACATATTTCACAATTTATCAACAATATTTTCTATTTAGGTATATGTATCGTTCATATGTGTATTTCTAGATGCGTACAGTTTTTTAACGTAACTTTTTAAATATTTTTGTTATAGATTTGCTAACAATATTGAAAATACTTATTCTTTAATGCTGTTAATGATGGTACTTCATTTTGGTATCATATTTTGCCTAAGCGGCTTTTTATGCGTTATTGTAAGGTTCAGTAAAGTAAATTAAACACATACATACAAGTTTAATACGATATATAATATAGAAAGCTTTTAATTTTCTTCTAACTTATATTCTACAGATGCTTACTGACAGAGAAATAGATGGAACTAAAGCAGCAGTATGCTACTCAATATTGGTTATTCTTGTCTTCTTGGTGAATACTTTTCTCTATTGTGGTGCAGGAGATCTCATGATGGAACAGGTAAATTATATGTATAATCACTTATACATATAGAGTATCTGGTAATATTTAGCGTGCTACTTTTCGTGGGCAGGTTACAGAACAAATTAAATTGAACAGAAAAATCTTGTATTGTTTCCACAATAATTAATTAGCAATGAATAAAGATTTCCAAATGAGTATGCATTCGGACGAGTTAGCGACAAGAGACGATCCAATGTTATTCATGATTGCTGGATGTGCGTTATTGCCCATTTCTCTCCACACGCTTAGTAACCACATTCATCACATGACGCTGGGCTGTCTCTTCTTCACGACTTGTAAATCTTTATTAATTTTTTATTAATTATTGAGAGATTTTCAAAACAGTAAAGTGCTCTTCTATTCAGTGTAATCTATTCTACTTATCCACGAGAGATGGCAAGATAATTATCCAACACTTTGTGTAAATAATCTGTTTTATATCTATTGTAATCGGTTTTATACCTTGGAGCTAATAATTTTGAAACATTAATACATTTTGAAAAAGTTCTTAAAAATCTTTGCTCGTTGTAATTGTGCTGACAGTCATTGTCAAATTAGATATTATCCATGTTGGAGATTGCACATGGACATTAATATGTTTTTTCACATGTATTTGTTAAGTGCAACGCAATACATCGTGCTGTGTGCGATCTTGAATGGTACAAATTGGAATCCAAAAAGGCAAAATGTCTTATTTTATTACTGCTACGTGTCAACCATCCTTTTAACATCACTGCAGGAAAAATTATTCCATTAACAATGGTTACTTTCTGCAGTGTAAGAGTATTTAAAATTTTTATATTTTAATTTCGAATTTTGCAAAGAATGTGGAGTTTTAATGTAACTCATTTGTCACATACATTGTGCATATAATTTTTAATGAAAATCATATTTATTAATTCAACCGCGAACATAAATCTTAGTCTCGTTAGTTTCAACAGTGTAAATTATATAGAATCTTTAATTTTAATTTCACTTCTTTGTAGAGAGAAAATATTGAATATAGCCTAGAATGTATATTTGTAAAAATCTCGCTTTTCAGTTAGTTACTAAGAAATTAGGCATCTTATATGGACAGTGATTGTACAAAAAAACATATGCATATAAAATAATATATAAACATATTTTATAAATGCGAATCCGTATAACTGTATATGCGAAATTTTGTCCGAGTAAAAACATAACTATTTTCAGGTGTTAAAGACATCATGTGGTTATATATCGTTTTTACTAACAAAACATGGTTGAAAATCAAGGTAGTATCTTAGTATACTTATGAAAGACTTCATGGATGTGTCCGCAACAATTAAATAATTATGAGTAGATACAATTGTATTTAGTAATCCTTACAGCATAAACTTTTGTTTTGCTTATTAGTGTTTGCTGTCTACTGTAATTTTATTAAGAATTTTGTAATACATTTTGTAACACGACTACACTGTTATAAGAATAGTTTTCTTGGAAGTAGACTTTCATGTGTAGCTAATTAAAAAGAAGAAATCTATAGTGCAAAATCTTCTTTAGTATTTGTTTTTAAATAAGATTACGTTTAATGTTTTACAAAGTTTTAATAGCAGAGAGTGTAATAGACTCAGGTGTCTTGACAATAAACGTGAAGAATAGCCAGCTAACCCAGGGGTGGGCAAAATGCTGCCCGCGGGCAACGGGCGCCCGCGGACGCCCGCGGGCATGCCCGCGGGCATGCCCCCACTCCAATCATCGCCCCACCACGTCTCAATCATATTCGGAACTATACTTCTAAAGCGCGACGTTCTTTCCCACTTGCCGAAACTGTCTCCCCACTCTTGCCGAAACTGTCTCCCCACTCTTGCCCGACACGCACAGCTATTGTCCGCGGGCAAACGGGCGCCCGCGGGCAGTGAAAATTGCCCAGGCCTGAGCTAACCGCACAATATTGGAATTATAAAATACGTACTTTGATATGCTTACTAGTTATAATATTGCATTCACTCGTGTAACGATGGTATACCTTTAGAAAATGTAAAAGGAAAAGTACGTACACCACGCAATTCTTATCACTTTTTCTGTCCGTAATATTTCTCTGTATTCTTGGGTCTGATATACATAGAGAATCCCTCTAAAAGTGAATTAACATTATTTATTGACGCGAAATAAATATATAATAAAGCAACGGAAAGTACGACACAATTTCTGAGAGAAGTTCGACAATTTTATGATATACTTCGATGTAATATTTTCTACCTCTAGTCTTATTAAAAGAGAAATAAAAGTTTTTATGACATATTGTTCACGTGTAACGTTTCTTTACGATATGAGCAGTCGTAAAAACTGGGGATAGCATCATTAATATTTAATGCAGCATTTGAAGACTGCTGGGTTTTTGTTCTTTTATGGAAAGCATGCGCGTTTATTTTACATTACATGGTGAGAAGAATGAGACGTTAGTTCTCATGGATAATAAGAAATCCGCAGGTTATAGAGGTACTAATTCCGTATTACATTTTTATCGTTTATCATATGTATTCCACATATCTATAAATCAGTACAGTATAATTTTCCAATTATAAAATGTTGCTTTTTATATAATTGTCTTTTTATCGCAGTATTGTTAGTTTTTGTTATGAACAATCTTCTAAATTTACATATTAATTTGTAACGATTTCATGTACAAATTCGTTAATGTTATATAAAATGTTATTAGATTTTATGTGGGCGACTGAAGTGCATCGCTTTGGTTTGGAAATGTTCGGTTTGTGGCCTAAAAATGTCACGTTTTCTATAAAAAGTTTCTGGTCACAAGTTCATGCAGGCATTATTTTAATTTTATTAGTATTTGTTAATAATGTTCCGATAATATATACGATTATGGAAGATTGGGGCGACATGGTACTTGTAATCGGTACTTTACGTTTTGCTTTGCCTTTCGTGTTAGTACCAGTGAAATATGCTATCATGCGATGGAAACGAACAGGTATGTCCGGAAATATTTAAAATGTTTGACATTTTAGTCTTTTACAATATCGAATATATTAATCGTGACATTATAATTAATTTATTATTACAAACACATTCTGAATAATATAGTATCACAAATCACATAGTAATTATTTCTTATTTATTCTGGTATAATAATGTAAATTGATATATAAAATAATTGGTATCCAAAGAAATTACAAAATGTATATAGTTTTTCTTTAGTTAGGGAGTTCATATAATCTAATAAATATTTTATGCGTTCATATAATGTACATTTTTCCCTATTCTCTGTAAGCAGTTCAATATTTCGATATATTAACATACGATTTTATTTATACTTCCAAGTTCTCTTATCGACTGTGAATATGATGGAGGAAGATTGGATAGCATTTAAATCGGATGCAGAAAGAACTGTGATGTTAAGACGAGCACAAACTGCTCGATTAGTTATGATCTTTGGATATTTTTTTATTGCAATCGCATTTTTCGCAGCGACTGTTCCTACTTATTTTGACATCCGAGTAATTCATGTGACGAATTTCACGAAACAGACCAAATTACCCTTGGAGGCGTATCACTTTTACAATATACATAAGAGCCCGCAGCTTGAGTTGACGTTTTTCTTTCAAAATATAGCGACCTTCTTAGAGGCTGCCATTTACATGGTTATAGATATTTTTTTATTATTAGTTATTTTTCATATTTGCGGACAGCTAGAGAATTTTAGATATCGGCTAATAAGTTTAGTCTCATGCAAAAATTTCGACAAAACTTTACATGACATCGTAGTATTCCATTTACGTCTTATCAAGTAAGAACTTTTATTATAATAAAATTTGTACACAGAAATTAATTTTAGCAATATTATCAAAAAAATTTTTATTACGGAGGGAAAGTTTAAAAATTATATTTTTTGCAATTTACTTTGTGTTAACTACAAAATATGGTATATGACATAAATATTAATTTTTCACACGTGTCCAAGTAAATAGAAGATAACACATATATATTTACTTTTCAACTCTTTGGTTTGCAAGAATTAAGTGATCGCACACATTTTATTATACCATTTTCATGTATATTTATACCTCTATCTTAATTTATGAGTGCTTCGCGAGAACTTTTCGATTCAATTTTTGATAAGGAGATCGATTTTAGGAATCACTTTATTGTATTTAAAATGGTGTTTTATTTTTATCGAATTGTCAGTAAAAGGTAGGCGAGCGGATCAAAGTGAGAGTAGAAAAGTAGAAAGTAGAAAAGTACGATTTTGTATAATTTTCATTAATTCATTCAAACGTCTGAACGAATGAGCGTGTAGAGAGCTGTATACAAGTCAGACTTGGTTGGCATAAAATATTTTATTTGTTAGATCTCTTAGCAATGATGAGTTAATCTAAGGCTCGCAGCTGTCTGTATGACAGTTTCTTTCCGGATCTTATGTTATGCATCGTTTCACCTCTCGCTATCACATGATGTTAATTAGGAGATTAAATAAGATATTTTACATGCCCATTCGAGTCCGACCTACCGCTTCCTACGCGCTCATTCGCTGAGATATTTGAATTAATTGCTCGATAACTATTCCGAATTTTACAAAATGGTACAAAATTTTTCTACTCAGGTTACTCCACTCTACGCGCCTCTTGCAGGCGATTCAATAAAAATGGGACATTCTATATAAACATACATACATATGTATATTGTGTCTACATATGTATACATGTACGTATCCATATAAATATATGTGTATTTAGTATTTACGTATAAACAGGTTTCTTGGTTTTAATTTGTTAATCTTTCAAATATTTTTATTTTTGCAGATTTGCTAACAATTTTGAAAATATCGTATCCATATAAATATGTATATGTGTATTTAGTATTTACATATACATATAAACAGGTTTCTTGGTTTCAATTTGCTAATCTTTTAAATATTTTTATCTTTGCAGATTTGCTAACAATATTGAAAATACATACACTTTAATGATGTTAATAATGATATTTAACTTTGTTATTACATTTTGTTTTTGTGGATT